AGATTTCTTTTGCACGGTCACTAAGGTTGGCAAACGCAGACGTAGTGTGACGCACATGAAGGGTAGAGATGGATGCCACTGGAGACAAGGGGAAAGTGTGTGAGCCCGCTTGGAAATCCAGTTACTTGAAGCAGAAGGACAAAAGACAAGAGGTTAGAATGGGTAATTTGGGAAAAGAACAAGAAAATTTTTTGAGACACTGGAAAGTTGGAAGCATTCAGAGGTCTTGGTCCTTTTCCAGAAAAGAACCCTATTGTTCTTTATTGCTCTGTCTGTGAACACAGGTGGGGCTCCCAAAGCCAGGAATGATGGCCCACAGGATCCAATGACAGCCATGCCAAATGCCCACAGAGCACCTCAGCTTCTGAGGTCCCAAACCTTTATAGTTCCTGTGCAAGGACACGGAGGAACAGCGGGAGTAACCTCAGGAGGGTAGAATTGAAGTTGGGCTTCTTTGATCCCCGGAAATTGAACATATGAGACTTCACATGGACTTGAACTCTGAATATATCTGACTTGGTGTTTTTTAGATTTTGCCTCCCTCTCCTCCTCTTCATCTAGGTCATTGTTGGGCCCCTGGCTAGACACTGGATATGGCCTCCCCACACAGGCCCTGGACCCCATCCTTCTAATCCTGCCTTCAGACTCCACTCTCCCTGGACCCACTGGTGATCCATCCTAGGGTCCTCACTTGAGCATCTCCATCACCATTGAGTACTTACTGGGCAACCACAAGGTACAAGACCTTACTGTTTACACTCTGAGCTAGATGGAAAATGACTTAAGGTTAGGAAAAGGATATATTTGCAAACAGATACTTTCCCCCATGTTCCACAGAAAATCAAGGACTTCCCCCTCTTAACCATTATCATCATCATCATCATCCAGATATTGAGCACTTGTCGCTCAACTGGGTTAAGAGCTTTATATTTAATGTATTATGTGATCTTTATCTCACCTCTACGAAGAAAGCTCTGTTATCAATCCTATGGTTCAGATGAGGAAAGTGAGGTTTAGTTTGCCCAACTCAGCATCTGGGGGCTGGCAGATCTGGCTATCATATCAAGAACCTGCACTATATCCATTAGCTAACACTCCTGCTCATAATCCCTTTCTTCTCTGTATCATCTTTTTCCTAGCGAAAAAATGCCATGAATTCCCCTACAGGTTTGGGCTAGGTATATAGTAGGTGCTCAATAAATGTTCAATTTAATTGAAACCAGTGAGCCCTGAGCTCATGGTACTCATGGTTGCATTATGAACCCACTGGTCCCACAGACCTTGCTTTGGAGGATTTTATCTTGATTACTTCACCCATTAGCTCATGCTCTTCAGTCGGCCGCCAACCTTGTGTTGTGTGAAGTCACACTTTTCAAGCTTCAAGCCCTGGCCCACTGTGACCCAGTGAGGGGAGAAGGATAGGGTAAATTCTCATTACTGGCAGTTCAGTATTTTATCTAAAGCGGGAGGGGAATGCTAAGGCCCAGATGCTGGGAGGCAGCCAGCTTGACTCGGTGTCTTGGCATCCTCAGTGATGGTCGTGGAAAAGCTGAATCCAGAATGAACATCTGCCCAGGCTAGTCAGAAAAGAAACAGCTTTTGGTTAGCTAATTAACTTTTCATCTACATCAGATGATTCCATTTTAGCACAGTGGCTTGAACACAAGGGCCTGGGAGCCTGGATCCATTCTTTTTACATTTCCCAGGTAGTGCTAGTAGATCATTGTGCTTCCCAGCCCATGTCTCCTCCTCTCTGGCTGGGGCCTTTAGAGGAGGACCTTGCATCTGTCTGGGCTGACTTCAGGGCTGACTTACTCTTCCCTAAAGGCGTGGGCTTCAGACCTGGAGACCTTTCTAAGAAGCCTAGAGTTTCTGGTAGTGAGACCCACATGAGATGATTTCACTCATGACGTACCAGGCACACATCATACAATATACAATGGAGGTGCTCACTGCTCTTCAAGGGCTTACAACCCAGGTTGGTGTGTGTGTGTGTATGAGTGTGTGTGAGTGTGTGTGCATGTGTGTGTGTGTGTAGTTGGGGATGGGGCATGGTGGATAGATTAATATACATGAAACAATGTATGATCAAGGGCTAAATTGCTCTACTGTTGTTCAGAAATAGGAGAATTCCATTTGGACTGACAAGTCCTTGAAAGATGAAGGAAATTCAGAGAAACCAAGAGGACCTTTCTGGAGGGGACAATGTGTACAAAGGGATGGAGGTAGCAGTGAGAATCATGAGTGCAAGGAAGATTCAACTCTATGGTATAGTCCAGGCAGTTAGAAGACCAGCTGTAACGGAGCCTATGGTTCATGTCAGGGAATCTGGTTTCCTTCCTCCCAACATCTTTCCAGAGCCCCTGAGATATTACTGAGTAGCACACCCATGTGCCCTGCACATAGCTCTCTTGAGCTACTTCTGACACCTCGTTGTTTTTATCTCTTTATACCTGTGTTCCCCATTTCTAGACAGCAATCTCTTCAAAGCTGAAGATTAGGCTTCTCTGTCTTTGCGTGGCACCTAAAACACGCTCAGTAAATTTGTGTTGAATAAAAGAATGAATGAAGACATGATTGGAGGTGAGCTTGAATAAGTGGGCTGGTTCTAGAATGAAATGGGCTGTAGGTGCTCCACATTCTAACTGATTCTGCCTTCAAAGGACTAGGTGTGGCGAGGTGGGCTTACATTAATTTATTCACTCTTTTATTTATTCAACAAATATTTATTGAAAGCTTTCTATGTTCCAGGCGCCATATAGAAGCTTGGATACAACAATGATCAACACAGACAAAATCCAGCCCAGGCAGAGCTTACTTTCTAGTGTTGGAGACAGACAATTGGGAATGGCGACATCGTCTGTGAGGCCAGTGGAAATGTGGGGCCTCTCCTCCAAACAGTAGGAAAAAGGTGCCCTTAGAGGTATTCGTTATTTCTGCATTTGCCCTCTCAACTTGTCATGGCATTTTTAATTTACCATTTAATATCATTCTAAGAAAAATGATCACTTAAAAATTATCAGCATGAATTTCACCATTCCTGTTTATCTTGTGCAATGCCAACTGTAATCCCAGAGAATTAAACTCGTGTGTATAATCATGAAATCACATAATGTGTATTTTATAGCTCACACTTGCATACCTACTTAGTTCTTCCAGAACAGGGGAAATGTGGCATAACTCTAATTCAATTGTTTTTATTTTGTTTCTTGATACATGACATTTTGCTAACTTGCTCTCCCTTCAGCTTCCTGATGAGTAAGGAAGGACTCTAAGGAGAAAGACCTATGGGTTGCCCTAGGTATCTCTTTGTCAACTTGTGTGTTATGGGGTGGGGAGGGGGCGCTAGCCCACCCCCACCCCAGAGGCCACACCAGAACTTGCTTTGAATGCAGAAATAGGCAGTGGTGTTCTAACAAACACAAAAAGCCAATAACCCTATCATATCCTTTCCTACTCATGTTACTTCCCTGTATTAAGGAAGTAACTATATTAGGATTGGGTTGGAATGTGCCTTTCTAGAAGTGTTGTATACTTAAAAAGAACCACAAAACCTTTGACCTTTTTTCCACTTTGTCTTTTCCATTATGCTTTCTCATAAAAGGGAGCTCTGTAAAGCTCATGACAGACTTGCAGATGTGCATCAGAAAAGCTTAGACCCAGAAAATATTTGCTCACTCCCCTGGCTCAGTGGTACAGGAACTGCAGGTTTCTTGATTTAAAATAATGTTTGTTTGCCTTTGTGGTGACATCTTTGGGGTGATGCTGGAGGATATGTGGTGATGTGTGGGTGGTGAGCATGTGGTGCGTCTACAAGGTTTAGAGGGGGTGGTCAATATGTGTGTATGTGTATGTGCGATCTTTGTGGCACATGTTTTGTGTGTATGTGTGATTTGTATGTAGGGTCTGTGGTGTGTTTGTGTATGTGGGCAACGTGAAATGAATGTGAGTTTAAGTGTTCTCAGCAAACTTTTCCTCTGGGCTGTAGAGCGCATATCTTCTGCTTTCCCCCAAAACGCCAGTCTGTTCCCATGTTCTTCTAAGTAAAAGAACATGCAGTTTTTTGACATTCACAAACAAAACCCAGTGGTTTTTATCTGAGTCAAGTGCTCCCTGGGGCTTTGTTTTTTTCCCCTCCTCCTTCCTGTAAATCCATTTTATGCGTTGGAGTCAGAAGATGACATCTTGTTACATCATGTTAGACAGCACCATAATTTTTTCCAGCAGACCATTTCCAATCTGGCAAAGCAGACAGAACTGAACAAAGACAGACAACCCAGCATAAATAAAGGATCAGTTCATGGCCCTGTGGGATGGACCCAGAGGAGCCTTGTCCCCGAATCCCAGGCCGACTTGCCATTTTAAGTTTTAACTCCTTACACTGGAATGGAGAAATGAGTCGAGCTTGCTATGCTTCCAGTGAAACTGTGCAGTCCCCCTGCTGGAAGGAGGGTGCCTGTGGGGGAGGGGTACTCAGCAGCAGGAGGGAGCAACAGAGGGATTGATGCTCTGCCTGAGGTCCTTTCTAGACTACTCACAGGTCAGGCCTGTCTTTTGCTTTCCAGCTGCAGCTGCTATTTTTAGTCCCCTCCCTGTTTGCCATTCTGCCTGTGACCTGTGGTCAGCTCAAGGCCTGTATTTAAACAGAGCTGTTCTATGCTCAAGTTCAAGTCCACCATTCTGACTTTCCTTTAGCAGTCTGCCACCTGAAACTCAACGATGAGGGCTCCTCAGGTGCCCTCCGCAACCCCTGGTATGTCGCCTATCAGACTGGGTGTCTGGCTTCCTTCAGCCCTGCCACGTACCTATAGCCACAGCTTGTGCTGTTGTCAGAACTAGTTCTGGGTGGGGAATGGTGCTCTCTCAGATCTTAGTGGGGGTGATCTGCCAGAATGTTCTAAGCATCTTGTCATTGTCAGCCTATGGCCAGAAAATACTGACGGGCTCACAGGCTGTACCGCCTAGGTAACTAAGGCACAAAACTCTAGGATCTATAAAATCAGGAAGTTGTTAAGAATACTGGACTTAGAACAGGATGATTCAGATTTGAGTCACAATCCCAAACTGTGTGACCCTGGGCAAGTGGGCGAAACTCTCTCAGTTTCCCCTTCCTCCATGGAAAGAGAATGCCTGCCTCTTGTGTTTGTTGTGAGAACCAAAATGTGATCCTGCATGTGAAGCCAATCTGGAAACGTGCCCACTCTCATATTCTATTATTTCAACTTCTCACACTTCTCAAAAGAATGTGGCAAGAAATGAAGGTGGGAAGGAATCGAGATGCTCGGGAGATAATAGAGAAAAAGACTCCGAGGTGTCACTCAAGTCAGCCAGGAAAGAGAGGTAAAAATTATTTCTTCTTTAATTAAAAAAAAATACTCTGGATTGAAATTTAGGATGGTGTTAGTATATAGTATAAATTTAATATGAATAAATATTAGTTGAACATATACTACATGCCAATCAATATAGTTGGCACTGGAGATACTAAGATAAACAAAGAATTACAACAGTGATTTTTATCGTTAAATAGGGAAAAGAGATAATACAGAAGAAAAGAGAAATCAGCACTCCATCTCACTATATAAATGTGATATGTGATAAATAAGAGAGTAGAAAGAGTAACCTAGTAACTAATGTGGGTATCACTGATCATAAATTTAGAAAACGTTTTATTTAGATCAGTACTTTATATTATATTGTATCATAAAGGAAACTCCAGTCGGGCTAAGAATTATATATAAATAGACAATTTATAGGGCAAAACTACACAAAAAAATCAGCATAGACGCTTTGCTGAACCAATGGAGAAATAGCTTTCTCAATTTGGAAGCAATAAAGGAAATCATTGAGACACAAATAATTATTTTAAGAGTTTTAAAATAATGAAAAATGAAAAATAAAATAACATAATGAAAAATGGTAACTGTAATATAAAATGCCATGAGAAGGCTGGAGAAATATTTTTAGCAATCATGGCAAAGAGTATATACTTTATAAGTATGTGATACTTTATGAGTAACTCATTAAAAATTTAAAACTAAACATTAAGATTTCACTAAGGGGAGAACAAGATGAACAATTAATTTACAAAAGAGAAACTATAGATTGCCTATAAACTGAAGGAAAAAGGTTTCTCTTTATAATTAAGTAAGTGTAGATTAAAGCAACATTGACTCAGCGATTCACATTGTTAAACTGGGAGAAGTTAAAATGTGACATCCAACGCTGGTCAGGCTGTGAGTGACATTGGCAATTCGTATATTACTGGTGGCAGCGTAAACTGTTACAACCCGTTCGAAAAATAATACGACAAAGCATATCAAAACCTATAAAAATATTCATACCCTTTAAGCTAGATATTGCTCTCCTAGCAGTTTATCCTGAAGAAAGAAATCAGTATCAAAGAAGCTGTATGATTGATGTTATTTCAGTTCTGTGCAATAATCAAAACTGATAATAAATATGATGATTATGAAACCTCAAGGATACCAAACAGGTATTAAAATAATGAAAATAAAAGATTGATGTATAGAAATGTTTGTGATAAAAGGACAAAAATGAGAATATGAAATTTAACATCGTATCAACAAAATGATTGAATTCATATAGTCAATTATATATTTTAACAAAACGAGAAGAAAATATGCAGAAGTTTGAAAATATTTGTTTTAGGGTATTAAGATTGTGACTGTTGTTTTAATTAAAAAAGTGTTTTAGGCTTTGCTATATTGGTTTTTGATTTGGAAAAAAAAGGTTAAAAAGAAGGGAAAAACCCTTCCCGTGTTGATTTGAACTTTGGGTAGATTCCGATTATAGCGCTTTCTCCTTCTTCTTTGACCTGCTGCTTATAGTCAGATCCCCCACCGCCCATGCCTAGCTCTACTATAGGGCAAACTCCAAATACCTGGCTGCCTATCGGCTTTCTGATGTTGCTTTTTTTGTGTTTTTTTGTGTTGCCACTTCTCTGGCAGGAAACAAGGAAGGAAATGTTTTCTTTCAATCCCAGCCCAGACTGCCCATTTCTATTCTAGAGCAGCATCCCCCTTGGCCCGACCGCGTCCGCTGACGCACATGCATCTACTCCTTGTAATGCGCTCAACTGTCTCACTATAGTGAGAGTAAAGCTCAGGCTAGCTGATTACAAGTACAGTCTAGCATATACAGTTAGCTTGGAACAGGTTGAAAGAGAATACCAGAGCAAATTAAGTGCTTCCCTTCATTCCTCTCCCTTTCTAGTGTCTAGATCCCTTCTTAGGGCCGACCCCTCAGTCACTGTTCTTTTCTGTAGGCTGACTCTACATTCATTTGCAATTCAGTTTGGCAGTCTTTGAGTGTCATACACTGCTCTCAGTCCATGGCTTACAAAGATGAGTAAGACATGGCTCCTGGTCCCAAGGAGCTTACTAGCCAGTGCAAAAACACACATTGAATAAAAAATGTTCCCTGTATTAATGTGCTAAGTCCCAACTCTGACATCTGGCAGCATACTCTGGGAAACATAAAGAGAGTGCTAGCCCAATCTGGAAATTCAGAGATGCCATGGATGGGTTAGGTAGAGAAGGAAGGATGAGGTGGGATCCGGTAGGGTAGGGTGGGATGAGGTGGAGGATGCTTGAGACAAAGGAAAGAGCATTAGCCAAGACCAGCCTGAAAGACAGCAAGCAGAGTTGGCTGAAGGAGAATTACCTTTCAGCTTCCTGGTGCTTTTTAAAGATTTTATTGGTTTATTTGAGAGAGAGAAGGAGAGGGGGAGAGATCACAAGCAAGGGGAAAGGGCAGAGGGAGAGGGAGAAGCAGACTCCCTTCTGAGGAGACAGCCTGACATGGGGCTCAATCCCAGGACCCCAGGATCATGACCTGAGTGGAAAGCAGATGCTTAACTGACTGAGTCACCCAGGTGCCCCTTCCTGGTACTTTTTAAAAAGCAAGTTATTTAATCATCAAGTATACTAGAGAAGCCTTCTTTCAAACATCACACTTGGGAAGCCCTCAGTTCTTGGTCTGCTTTTTCACTCTTGTTTTCCTTCTTACTACTTCTGTCATTGCTCTGCTCTTTTCTCCCAAGGGCTGCTTGCCTTTGCTACACATTCTTCTCTAACCCCATACCCTATAGCTCCTGCACCCCCCAACCTCAAGATATACTTTCTCACTCTCTTTGGTTTATACTCTCAGTCTAAAAATCCAAGTGATTCCCACATTTGTGAAAATGTGCAGCCTTGAATGTTGTTAACTTTTCCTGGAATGGATTCTGAGTGTGTAGAGGTAAGACAGTTCGATGTGATTGCTGTATTTAAAAAAAATCTTGACATTATCAAGTTTTTCAAATCCTAGGACTGAACGAGTGACCTTATTTCAAGTGATGATTTTAAGAAAGTAACAGTGTAAAATATGAATGAAAAATTGATTCCAACAAGAGTGTAAAAACCATTCAACCGGGAAAGAACAGTCTTTTCAACAAATGGTGCTGGAACTGGATATCCACATGCAACAGAATAAATTTGGACCCGTACTTTACACTATACACAAAAATAAATCAAAGACCTAAATACAAGAGCTAAAATTATAAAACTCTTAGAAGGAAATATATGTATAAACTTTAGGACCTGGGATTAAGCAATGGTTTCTTAGATATGGCAACAAAAGAAAAAAATAGATGAATAGGACTTAATCAAAATTAAAGTTTTTGTGCATCAAAGGCCACTATCAAGAAGGTGCAAAGAAAACCCACAGAATAAGAGAAAATACTTGCAAGACATATACCTGATAAGAATCTAATGCCCAGGATAAAGAACACTTAGAATTAAATAACAAAAAGACAAATAACCCAATTAAAAAATGGGCAAAGGACTTGAATAGACATTTTGCTAATGAAGATCTGCGAGTGGCCAATAAGCACATGAAAAGATGCTCAACATCATTAGTCAGTAGAGAAAATGTAATTCAAAGTCACAGTGAGATACCCACTTCATACACATGAGGATTCCTATAACAAAAAACAAAAATAAAACAACAACAAATGAAAATAACAAGTATTGGCAAGGATGTGAGGAAATTGGAGCCCTCCTATATTGCTGGTGGAAATGCAAAATGATGCAGTTCCTTTGGAAAAATTTAGCAGTTCCTTAAAATGTTAAATATAGGGTTAGCATATGTATGACCTACTAATTCCACTTGTAAATGCACATACCCTAGAGAATTGAAAACATATGTCCACACAAAGACATGTAAACAAATATTCATGGCAGCATTATTCAGAATAGTTAAAAGGTGGAACAACCCAAATGTCCCTCAACTGATGAATGGCTAAACCAAATGTGTGTATCTGTACAATGACATAGTGCAAACACATGCCACAATGTGGATGAGCCTTGAAAACATTATGCTATAAAAGAAGCCAGATACAAGAGGACACATATTGTATGATCCCACTTATATGAAATGTCCAGAATTGGCAAATCTATAGAGACACAAAGTAGACTAGTGGTTCTCTAGGGTCCAGGAAGGGGACAATAGGAAATGACTATTGAATGGGTATGGGGTTGCTTTTTGGAAGGACAAAGCATTTGCAATTAGTGGTGATGGTACACGACATTGTGAACTGACCTCTATACTTTTAAACGATTCAAACGATGAACTGAATATTTGCAAGACATATACCTGATAAAAATCTAATGTCCAGAATAAAGAACACTTAGAATTAAATAACAAAAAGACAACCCAATTTAAAAATGGGCAAAGGACTTGAATAGACATTTTGCCAAAGAAGATCTATGATCATGGCCAATAAGCACATGAAAAGATGCTCAGCATCATTAGTCAGTAGAGAGAATGGCCACTGGTCTGAGTAAAGCATGGGCTCTGTCCTCGAGGTGCTCACCCTCTGTTGGAGGATACAGACACATACTTCACTAACTAGAACACGAACCTGAAGATAGTACGCATCGCCACAGAGAGAGAGATGGTTCTGCTGGAGTACGAGGGACAGAAGGGATCCTGGAAAACCTTACAGAAGAGGAAACATTTGGACAGGATTTTTAAGGATGAGTAGGAGTTTGACAAGTGGAGTAGGTGGTTCATTCCAGGCAGAGGAGCTGCTTGAATGAAGGCCTGGAGTTGTACAAAGTATTCAACGACATGCCAGGTGGTATGATTTGAGTTATGGTTTCTCCTTCTAGTATTCTGCCACTGCTTTTTAAATTAAATATCACAACCATTTCCCCTTTGATCTTTGGTTCTTGCCTCATAGAACATGAGCCTTCAATTTAAAAGTAGAGACACAGATGGGGCACCTGGGTGGCTCAGTCGTTAAGCGTCTGCCTTCGGCTCGGGTCATAATCCCGGGGTCCTGGGATCAAGCCCCGCATCGGGCTCCCTGCTCGGCGGGAAGCCTGCTTCTCCCTCTCCCACTCCCCCTGCTTGTGTTCCCTCTCTTGCTGTCTCTCTCTCTGTCAAATAAATAAATAAAATCTTAAATAAAATAAAATAAATAATAAATAAATAAATAAATAAATAAAACTAGAGACACCGAAATGGGGCCCGTAAGCCTTGGTGGGGTTTATCAGTGTCCCCTAAATTCTCCTGCTGTGTCCAATCCTACCTGGAATGCATTCGGCATGTGGCTCTGCTCCTGCTCTCTGTTTCTCCCATCTGGGAGCCCCTCTCTGCAGTAATAGCTAGTTCCATCCATCTGCCAGATGGACAGGCCCTCATTCCCTCATCAAAAGGTTCTTGCTTGATGGCGGCTTCTTCACTCCAGCCCTGCTGTCCCTCTGGCGCATCTAGAGGAGGAAGCGAGGGAGGAGGAAATGAGAGGCCCATCCCATTCCCCTGGGAAGATTCATCCTGTTTGGCTCCTTTAGTAGCTGTCACCACTTGGCTTCTATTTGGGTTGTGAACCCATTGCCTGGAGGGGAGGTGGAAAGATCTGTGCTCAAAACAAGTAGCCTGTAGGAGGAGTTTGGTGCTTAATGAATTATTCAGTGAGGGGTGCAAGCAAAGAGCATTCTGGAAGAAAAACATGTTTTCAATAGGAAGCTCCAAGACCCCCGGTGCCTCCCAGATGAAAAGCTAACAGAGCAATGCTCTCGAGTGTGACTATTTGCTCCCCGATGCACTAAGCATGAGCCTGGCTTATTGTGTTGACAATTTTGCATCTTCAGAGCATAACTGATTCATGGCAAACATTAGTGCACTGGACAGGGGAGGCGTCGCTGAACAGGCTCTCCCCTAAAGCCAGGAATAATCCCCTGTGCAAGAGATCCAGTTTGACGAACTAGTCAGTGTTCCCAAACCTCTATGCTTGGGGGACATCAGGACAGGGAGCCATCTGGTCCTAGGCAGCTCGGCTCAGGAATATTGTCCTTCCCAGAAACGGATTGTGTTTAGCACATGAGGCCCGTGGGGCTGCCTGAGACTGGGCCTCCTGCCCTGGACCCCCATCTAGGGTGGTGAGGACCAGACGGCATTGTAAATATGCTCCCCAAAACTCCACATAAAAAGAAACATGGATTTAACACTGATTTCTTCTTGAACCACTTGCTTTTTTTTCTTTCTTTTTTTTTTTTAACCAACTTGTATTCCATTGTCTCCAGTCTTCCAAGGGAGGAGGGCTCCGACAGGGCAGATAAGGACCAGCTGTGCAGTGGGAGGGTCAGTCTGCACTGGGGGGGGGGGGGGGAAGGGGGCAGAGGGGGAGATGAGGAGAGAGGAGGGGAAGCAGGCCTGAATGTCCTTACTTGGAGGGGTCGGGGGGTCAGTGACAGGAGCAAGGAACAGATTTTTCCAGCCGCTTTCAGGCTGAGATTGCACTGCATAATCTGAATGCTTTTATCTGTTTCTGAAAATAGACAGGAATTTTTTCCACAGGCTGCTCCAATCTGGCCATGGAGATGTGAGGGAGGATCATGGGGAGACAGTTGTATGTAGTCCAGTAAGTACGTTTTGTGACCCCCTGACCCGCAGCTAGCCCTTCTCCATATTGGCTCTGTGGAGCCACATTGTCTTAAAGCCCCTTCAAGTGGGGAGTCAAAGATGCTGGAAATACTTTCCATCCTGACTTTTGTATAGCTTCTGCTCTGCTGAGCTATCCATTCCTACTTAAATATACATGACCCAAGAGCCCCATGGTTAATATAAAAGGCCCCTGTGAGGTCATAAGTACCTATCCAGAGGGAATGGTTCGTTGAGTCTGTCCAGGATGACATACGTGGGAAATGTAAACAGGACAGAAAGAAGAAAATGGTTTGATCAGAAATTATAGTTTATGGTTGTTACGCATTCCGCAAATCATATTCTCCACCTTTGTCCTGGATTTAGACTACAAAGGAGCACCACAAATTATCTACAAAGAACTTCTGCAAGGTTAACTCTGGATTAAATCAGACTCTATCTCTCAGCAGCTGGTCCCTCTCATCTCAGATCAAAAGGATCTTGAACCTTCTAAGTGAACTGCTATCAAGCAAACAGCAGGGGAATCTCTAATATTATTTACATAACATTTTTTCTTTTCCAATTATGTATTGGTTTCTTCTTGGTACAAGCCTATCTTATAAATATGGAAACCAAGACACAGAAAAAGAAAACAATGTTTAGGGTCACACAGAGAGTCAGAGGTGGAACTGGAGAGAAGACGAGAGCCTTTTAACTTCAAATCAGCATATCTAGATACCACTTCTGCTTATTTCAACCATCCTTTATCATCACTATCCCCCCACTTACCAAGCACAAAAAGTTATTTGTGTTGAGCATGCAGGAAAGCAGGCCAATTTTACTGGTTTTTCAACCTGGAGAGTTTCTTGGGGCCAGAGGTAACTGGGATAACTTTGAGGCCGGTAAGGTTTGGGGGAGCTTCTTTGCAAGGTTCCTCTAAAGTAAATCTTATTGTGAATGGAAGCAAGAGAAGAATGCCAGTTGGTTTTGAAATGCTGCCAATGTCTTATGTCTCTGGGACTCCTCTGTTGTCCTCATGACCAAAGCACCCCATGGCTAGCTCATGTTCCCAGTGAGGAGGAAAGAAAAAGAACAGAAACGTGAATCCCCATCACCTCCCGCAGGCTGAGGTCCCCTCTTGGACCCCTCTCCTGCTGAAGGCCGTGCCTGGGAACTGCAGTTCGTGAATTAAGTTCTTAATGAAGCAGTTCTCTCAGCGACAGACCACGCTGAGTGTCCAGCAGTGTGTCCCCTTTGCCGGCTCTCCGGAACCTCACGCGTGGTACTGCAGTGTCACAAAGATTGCTGTAGTCATGGGAAGGCAACTGCAATTGGGGACAAGGCTGTGTGTCTCCCCAATGGTTAGCTCCTTGTCATCAAGGAAAACAAAGAACAGGAGGAAGAAGAGGGAGAAGGTCAAAGAGATATGGGAGAGTGACTGGAAAACAGAAAGGCAGAGAAGAACATCATGGGGGGTAGCTAAGAGGCTTTGAAAGTCACAGGAGATGCCAAAGGTAAAGGGGGGAAAGGGGCAGCAGAGAGAACCGACGTACACCTGGGCCTCTGCCGGCCGGCACTGCAGAGCTCGAGACGGGCCCGGCAAACAGCCCAACCCCCTCAGACTTCGAAGCACCACCACCCATTGGGCTTCAAAAGAAAGAAAAGCAGGAAGTTGGTTGGTTTCGGGTCCTTGAAAAGAAGTGCGCTGGCGGTTGATTCATCCTCCTGTGGACCGAGCACCCAGCACACACACAAGCTTTCCAATGCCGTCATTTGACCATCACTTGTAAATTACTCTGATTTAGTGGCATATGGGGCCTGGTGCTTTATCAACATTATTCCTGACTTGCCCCAGCACAGCTCCTGGGGAAGCTATAGGCAGCACTGCAGTGGTTTTATAAGAATTTTGTGGAGCACAGGGAAGGGACAGACTTTTTAAAAAAGATGCTCAAAGTGGAAAAAGGAACAAAGAGGAATTATTCTCCTTGATCCACTGAGAGGCGTGTGTATGGTGTGACGAAACACATGGGCTTTGGCATCAGAAGGATGGAGGCTGGGATCCTGCCTTTGCCAGTTTGTGACCTTGGGGAATTGGTTTAACATTTTTGATCTTTGGTTTCATCATCTACACACTGAGAGAACATGTATTTTGCAGGGCTCTTGTAAGGTTTGATGGGAAGATGTGCACAGCGCCTGGCGTTCAGTAGATCAATAACTCTTAGCCGTTGTTATTCTACTCTCTGTTAGCTTCCACCACTGGCGTGAGGACTAACTTCTCCAAGGAGCATTTTTTCTAGAAGCCCCACCTCCCCAGTTATACATATATTTTTGTGCTACTTTGGAAAGGAACCGTGATAATTTGGTCCAATCCATTCCTTTCTTTGTGCAGAGAGGTGGCTGGTTGATTCAAGATCACAGTGGATGCAAACTAGCGGCAGAGCTGGGACTTGGGCTCCTGGCTTCCCAGGCGGTACTTCTTCTTCCTCACCTGCTGGGCTACATATACAGGTGATCCTGATAGTCCTTGAATGCAGCCAAGTGCATTTTTTTCCTGCTAAGTTACTGACTGGATGGTACTTCTTTGTGATAACTCCTCAGAGGAGAAGACACAGGTAAAAAGAAATGAACCTGCTGTCCCCTCCGAGTACCAATTTCCCCCCATCCCTTTACCATCTGGGCCATGGTGCAAAGCAGATAAACCCTCCATCTCTTGGGTGCTACCAAGGAGCAGTAGAGAGGCTCCTGCTTCCAATGTGCTGGCAGCTCCTTCAAGACTTCGTATGAGCTTCTCCTGCTTTCCTGGGAGGAGTAGTAGGCATTTACCACCGTGGGATGCTTTATCTGATAGTCTTGGCTTGTGGGAAGCCATCCCATGGCTGTGCAGGAAAACATCTAAACCCTCTCTGCCAGTAAGAAGATTCAAAACTGCCCAGAACCTCAGTGACAGCTGAGCTATTAATGGCAAGTGAATCAACTCTTAAGCCCACAGAGTATAAACTACATTTCCATAGACCCTGCGGCCCATCTAGAGAGCTTTGGGGAAAGAAGGAAGAGGTAGCCTCATCCTCAGCTGTTGATGTTAGTTCTCATCACGATGGGTAGTTTATGCATCTTTTTCAGGGCTGAGACATCTGCAGAGGTGGAAGTTGGAAAGGCAGGGTATTTAAGATGGAAGGATAGAAGAAGACTTGAGACTGAGAAGGAAGACTGCCTGGAGTCACACCCTGGGCCAGTCTTGCCTCGGGGCTGAGTTCAGTGCAGCCCTCCCTCTCTTTCCCTTCTGTAGGAGAATGAGAGCCAGAGATGGGTGAAAACGAGGGGAAACCTCTTCTCTGTCCCTGGCAAAAAGGGCGCATGCGAAGGGGGCTAGGCAGGTGTCTTTTTCCACGGCCAGGTAAGATTTTGTCTTTTAGGAAAATGGGTGCTTAAGGTGCTGACTGGAGCAGAATCTATTTTCCATAGGCCAGCGCACCTGGCCACGGAGGCCTTCATGCGGCCAGATGTTTGCAAGGCTGTGATAGCAAAGCCAAGGGCACCTGCAGCCTGCCAACATCCCACGGGGTCTAGGACATAGGCGGCTTTGCCCTCAACCCAGGAGGAGTGTCTGTGCACATGCAGGGGCAGGTCAGGCCACCGCGGGGTTGGGAGGGGTGCTTCATGAGCCCAGGCCCCACTTGAGTCCCAGGCCCTTTCCTCTCCCTCACCCATCCCCCCACGACTGCCTCCAAGCTGCTTCCCTCCTGCTCACACAGGGCATCCGGCACAGCTCTTGCACCTCTGCCGGGACAGGGCCAGCCCACCCCTCCTCCGTTCCCTACGCGCACACGCATGCACACGCACTCACATCACACACACACACAAACACACGCACGCTGCGCACACACACACCTGCACTATCCCCACGCCTGACTGGCTCAATCACCCGACCTCAGCGCCTTCCACTGCGGGGCCCTCGGAGCCGGGAGCCCTGCGCCGAGCTGGCGTGCGCTCTAAAAATAGCTGTGTCCGACGTGATGAATGGGAAGGCATTTGCTCTCCTTTTCCTGCCTCAGCTTCGGGGCCTGAATCATGTTGGGAAATGACATTCTGTTAACACAAGCACTTTTGTTTCCTCCCGTGTTCTCTCATCATCCGGTGGGGCCGTGGCCAGGACTGGGTTTCAGTGTTGAAATCCTCCCCGGGGGGCCATCAACACCCCCAAACACTGACATTAAGGAAAGCCGTAGGCACAAACGGAAAGAAGCATCCTGGGCCGGGGCACTGATATGTTGCTCCCCGGACTCCACCAAGAGCACCCCGAGCCCCAGACACCCAGGAGGCGGGGGGCTCGCGAGCAGCTGGAGCTCACTCCCACCTGGCTCAGGGGACCATTGAGTGAGAGTCAAGTGGACGGGACCCAGACGGGTGGCTTCGCAGCCACCTGCTTCCACGAGAGGGGCTCTGGTTCCACCTGCAATCAGAACTGCTGGGGAGCCAACTTCTCAGCAGTGCAGGGGGAGAATTTGGGGAAACTTTTTAAAACTAACCAAACTTCTGCAGTTCGACTTTTCATCACCCTTGTTCTAAGTTCTGTGAGGCCAAGGGTCCTGCTCAGCTCATTTTTGCATCCCCATAAGCCCCAGCCAGGGTGTTTGGCTCAGAATAGGTATTTGATTAAGTTCTTTCTTTGGGTTGGAAAGAAATGAACAGCACCTAGAGGGGTTCTAGAGTGGGAGAACTAGAGTCATATACCTTTTAAAGAGTAAAAAGTGGGGCCTCTAATATCCGGAAATTCTGGCAAAGCCCACACACTAGACCTTGAGAAAGATAATTTCGCACGGCCTGTTCTCCAGCCTCGATTCCATCCCAGCTCAGGGCTACTTGGGAGCCTGTGGTTCTCCTAAGCGAAGGATTTGACAGCTCATCCCGCTCAGACAGAAACCAGTTCCTCCTGCAAAGCCTCTCTTCTGGTCCCTACATCTTGCTTCTATTTTTCTGCTTGGATGTACACAGAGTCTGGGGCTAATGGAACCTGCTTTAGAGGACTTTTTTGAACATCCTCTTACCCTTTTAACTGGTTCTCAAGCAAAGTGACAGAAGCTTTGGGCTTAAGCAGTAAACCTATAATCAGAAGCCTCGGAAATTCACATTTCCCAGTTCTGAGAGTTGCATTGTTCATTGTTTAGACTAGGGCAGAATGTCACCAGCATTCAGACATGTGTAACCCATAGGCCTGCATGTGATCATCTCTCCCAGCTGTGTTTGGAAATGTGCAGGGACACTGGTCTTAGTGGCTGCTCACATCCTTCCCTGGTCTTCCCTGCTCCCTGTGCTTCCACACCCCACCCCTGCCTCCAAATCACACACATGCCTGGCCTGGGTGGAGACGGGCAACTTGTGCACCCAGAGCCAAGGCCAGGAGAGGCTCCAGGGCCAGCAGTTAAAGAGAGCCGCCAGCAGACCCACAGCACCTAGCAGAGGCTTAATGCACACTCGCGACCTCAGGGGATGCTGATTTGCTACCTGTGGCATGAGGTTCATGTAAGCAAGAGCCTAAGATGAGAAGATCTCTAGAGCAGAGAGATGGGCAGACCCGAGAGACTCTCAGATTCCAAAATGGGGGCACAGAGATGCACCCTCTCTGGGTGCCAGAGATTGAGGGAAGAGTGGAGAGAATGTGGGCTTGGGAAGGAGGGGCTCCAGCCGGGGTTCTACCACCAGCTCTCAGGGTGACCTTAGGTATCTTTATCGGTAAAACGAGACAGGATTGATCTCTAATTCTGCGATGCTGACACACTTTTGTATTCACAGGTGTGGGAGGAATCCCTCAACAGAAGGAAGAGAATAGCCTCTCTGGCTCACCATGTTGGTGGCGGGATATTCCAGGTAGTTCCTAAATAGAAGGCTTCCCTTTGCCTTTTCAATTTCTTGACTCTTTCTCCATAACCCTTTGCTCTTTCTTAGGGGGACTGAACACCATTTGGGTGGTTAGAGCCCCATTAAATTCCACCCAACACCTCCTCGTCAGGTGCCCCTCCTTCCCTCTCCTTCTCTGTCAGCTGCCTTAGACTTCCATGGCTGCTGAGCACACGGAGAGTCTTCTTTCTGGGTTGTCTGGGCCTTCAGTAGAGGTCAGGTTGGACCCGGTGCCCTGACACCTGAGCAGTGTTCTTCCCTGGTCTCCCACTCACAGACATTTCTTCAGAGGCACATTCCGAGTTTGGGGCATCCCTCCCTTCGCCAGCTTTCTCTGAGGGTCTCTGTGCTCTTGCTTGCTCTCCAAACTTCTTGAAGACCTTCCCTGAATCAACTCATTCTCACGCTGTCCTCATTATTTCTTTTGTTTGGACATGTAATTCTTTGCCTCTCTTTTTGGTCTTGGGCTTTTCCCAAGACTTTGATTTTCTATTCTTTAGCTCTTATGCTGATCACCAGAGATTATGTAAAAGGCATCGCCAAGAGGCATCACCCACTTGTCTCTTTGGAGATGGAGTTACCATGCAATCTCCTAGAGTCTGGGGAACCTTCCTTCTTGTAGGTTAAGATGGCTAATAGATCCCAGGGAATCTTCAGGATATTTACAGAGGTGACCAGAAATCTCCAGCACTGAACAATGTAATGCATTTTCACATAGTGCGTGTTCACTTTTGCTAAATCCTCTCTATTTGTAGATGTCACTTCCTTGCTGAGGGTTAACAGCTCAGGAGGTTTTTGATCTGTATGTGAAAAAGAAACCAAAGTTAATCCAGCAGGCAGGCCAGTCGGCTAGCTCTCTCCTTCTTCTCTGTTTGTAGATGACATCCAAATAGCCCTGTTCTGGCGGGTGCCAGGGAAGTAACTATTCTCAAATTAAAGCGGAAGGAAGTCTTTTCAAAAAAAATTTTTTTAAAGCTGGGCCCTGTAACTTAACCTTTCCCTCAGTGAGGCAGGCTTCTAGAATAGCTGGTTTCATGTTGTAAAGATAAATGAAAGGCCGAGTAGGTATGAGAGCACCTCCTGGGGCTGTGGCTGGTGACCGGACAAGTCGTATATTCCAAGCTTCTTGCCGGGCACTGCAGTGTAAGCCCAGCCAAGGAGAAACCGAGGGGGGTGGATGACCCCCAGCGTGGGTCCTCTGCTTCCCAGCTAGGGCCTTCCAGCATCTGGTGGATGTGCACCATTTGTAATGCTTTTGAGGATAATGATTTGGTCTCATGGAAAAAGGAGAAATGGTCCAAGATAATGTCTGGTAAACTTTGACATTCCACCCTCAAGTGATCTTGCACTCATGTAGAATCACTAACCAGCTGCGCGATCGTATTACAGAATCTTCCTCAAGGGCCAACTTGCTGTTGACTCCATCCCCAAATTCCAGATTTTCTCAAACAAAAGGAGTCATGATGTGGAAGGAGCTGCAATCAGCCAGATGGAAGAGAGGTATAGATTGCCAAGATTGGAAGCACCCTTTTAGCTGTTTTGGCCAAACCCCTCTCCCCCACCCCTCCCCGCATTTTGCACATGAAAAAAACTGAGACTCAAAGAAGAGAATTTCCTAAGGTCACTCAGTGGAAGAAGTGGGACAAGAGAACAGGATGCTCAAACCATGGAACCCCCAGGCCAAGGTGCTCACTCAACTCTTAGGGCTGCACAGCCCTCCTTGACCCCATTCCTTAAATTATGTCTGAGGGTGAGAGTGTAGGCCAGAGAAGTAGTGATGGAATCTCTTTAGTGCAAAGACACGAAGCTGTGTTGATAGAGTCTGCCAAGAGGAGATATCTTGCTGTTCTCAAGCGGGGAGGAGGTGGTGGTAGCAAAGTCCTGCTTTTCCTAAGCCATACATGCAAAGCTAAGCAAGATGAAGCGAGCTATCTGGGTCCGTGATCCCACTAAGACCCCGTATCAGTGAGGTCTTTTCAGAGGATCAAACGGCAAAGAGCAAGTAATGTTAGTTATTCAATGGCAAGTCTAAAGCACCTACTTTGTGTGGGACATCGTGCTCAGTGCTACAAGGGACGAAGAGAGTAAAGTGTGGTGGAGAGTTACAGTCTCAGGAGCCAGCCGGGTGCCTGTCAATGACACACACATGTATGCACACACTCATGGTAAGAAGTGAGTCTTTTTTAATACTCAATATATTTGCTTTATTCTGAGATTGTGTCCTGTAATTTAACTTTCTCAATTTTTGACAATATCCTCCCAGTAAAATGTTGGCAACCCAATCAGGGTTCTCTTATTTTTGAAACAATATTGGTTGATGAAATCCAAAAATTTGGCAAATGTAGATGTGGTTAAAAGGACATGGGCTCTAGGGACAGAGAGACATAGGTTCAAATCAGGGTTCAGCTATTCGTTAACTGTGTGACCTTGGGAAAGTTTCTTCATGCTGAGTGTAAGTTTTCTGCCTACAATACAAAAAGTCCCCAGAACAGCAGGGAAGTGCACACCTGTAGAAGTGCTCACAAACGTGATTGCCCATCTCGGAAATAGCTCATGTGTGTTTGTGCACACAGGTGCACCTACGTTGTACCAGGTGCTGTGCAGGCAGCAGGAGACCTTTAGTCTTTGCTGTCAAGGAGTTAAAAATATTGCTGGTAAGACAGTCAACCTCACCAGAAATCATGGGAGAGACATAAAGTCTAGCATATCTTTCTCCATTCTCTGAACAGTTTCTTTGGTTTGGTAACAGTGACAGAATTTTCAACTATTGCTTTCCACAGTTCACATTATATTGTTTTTCCATGGCTGGTTTCAGTTTATACTAAGGCTCCCTCAAAACTCATAAAGTTCCCTTTAAAACCTCATAAAATTTCACCTGTGGATGTTTATTGCCCACAGGATGTGAGCTATGTCCGTTTGGTTTTGATAGATTTACCCTTATTAAACTTGGGCCCCCATTTTCCACCAGTCTTATGAAGATGGCTACCTCCTGATTTAGCACAAGGGGCTCTTCCCTTTGTCCTCCAGTGAGTAAATATTTCAGCTCCCTGGGATTGAGCTCGGCTCATGCACAGGGATTCTTACTCCCAGGCTTCTAAGGTCCAGGGATTTGCTCCAGCTCTGGGAAGTGGGTATTCTTCATGAAGGTGCACTCTAAGCTTACTCCAGCCTCCCCAGGCTCTCCTAGATGTCATTGCCAGGAATCCATCCAGAAGTGTTTGCTGACCCGCACAGGGACTGGCATTTCAGAGATGACAAGGATGTTAAAGATGTTCTTGCTAAAGTCAAGGGCAATTCTCAAGTGCATAGAAACAATCCAAAATAATTTCTTCTATTGACTCTAGATTTATCTCCTTGGGACATTCTTCCATTGGCTCTAGTCCTATATGATAGTCTTATAAATATTTGCAGAAAGACATCATGTTTCTCCTTTAACCTTTTTTCCAGGCCCAATGCGACCCCTTCATTGCATCTAGACTCCTTGCCATCCTGGTTAGTCCCTTTTGGGTTTCCCATTTGGGTGCATGTCTGAATCATACTAGAGTCAAGAAGCATCTTTAGGGGTAGATCTCAGTCTTCATGGCTCAAGACCCTTTTTCCCAGGATGGGAAGACCTGGCTGTTGGGGTGCACTTCAGGGGTAGCCAGCGAGTGCTCAAAGTTCACAGTAGTTCAGACCCTGGCCAGGTAAAGACCAATTCTGGGAGGTGCAAACAGGCGGGAAGAGCCCCAGACCAGAGAATCCAGAGCAATCTGGGAGTGTGGGCCACAGAATCAGAATTAAGGAAGAACTACAGAGTTACCAACTGGGATAATGTGGAAGGAGGAAGGGGTCACCTACAACTGGAAGTAACTCAAGTTCTTAAGCCTAGGGGATTCTGGGTCTTGGATATGATTGCCATGTGGGAAGATCAGGGAAGAAGCTGGAGGAACAGTCTGAATTAAGAATTATTTTTTAATTCTAAGCTTCAACAGAAGTTAGGGTGAAAGCTACTGACCTTTCTGTATCGTCAGGATTCCTTTGCTTAGAAGGGCAGACACCCAACTTATCCTGTTTTAAGCACAAAGGAAACTTACTGGTTCATATAACTCCAAGCTACTGGTCTGAGGGTAACTCCTCCTTCAGGAACTATTGGACCCAGGAGAATCTATCTCTTAGCTCTAAGCTGATGTTCCTCTTAAGCAGATGTTTCCAAGTGGTTGCTTCTAGCAGCTTTCATTCACTTCCTTCTAGTTTCAGATTCAGCTAAAAATGAATGTGTTTCCTAAGAATTGTAACAAAAATTCCCAGAATTGGGTTATGTGCATGCTTCTGGAGCTCAGAGGTGGGCAGCTGACCATGTGAGGCAGAGAATGGTGGAGGGGTGATTTCCCAGAAGGAAACGAGGGTGGATCGGGGAAGCACAGATGGTAGATGTCCAACACTCTGCCCCCCTCCAGATTAGCTCTGGGGATCTGGAGACTCGAGGCTGGAAATGGGACAGTGAAAAGAGCTGGCAGTGGCGATGAATTGGGAGTGTCTCTCAGTTGGAAGACCTCTTCTCTGTGAAAACTCAGCCCAGCACCTTAGACACAGTCCTACCGGGGAGAGGTACAAAGGGGTCATCTCCATATTCAGGGCTCTGTTCCTTAACAAAAGCCCAGACCTGGATCACATGTGCTATTCTGAAGCTTCAATACTCCTACTGGATCCTCTGCACATGAATTGTCATTAAGGCACTCCATGTTCATCCTTTCTCAGCTGTGGTGGTGTATGTTCAGGATGTTGCATTTAGCTTTGTCCCTTTCCAACATCAGGGGACATGTTCCAGGATGAAGAAAGAACATTTTAAGGCATTTTGCTTCTCTTCATCTTTCTCTTCCTCTGGAAATAATCACAACAAAGCCTCATCATAATTTTAAAATTCAAGGCTTTGATGGGTTTGGTAAGCCAGGGTCTGACTTGGACGTCAATGCCAGCACCAAACTGGG